CACTCAGCCCTCTGTGAACAGTAAACAGCCATCAGGTGCTAATGACTCATTGTTAGGCTGATGGTCCTTCTTGAGCATGTGATCAGCTGGTTTTGGTTGTCAGCAGCAAAACTGGTTGATCCACTCTGAGAAGGTGCTATTTAAGAGACTGAGCTGAATACAGCACCTCAGACTGAGGAAGTCTCTCGGATGAGAGACGAAACGTTTCTACATTTTTTGTTGTTTTGCTTTGTTTTGTTTTTTTGAATGTCCAGAGGACCAGATTTAACTTTTTTAGATATAGAAGATATTAATTCAACCTTTATTTAAACAGGTTCGTCCCATTGAGCCACGAGGACTCATTTACAAGAGAGACTGAATATAATTGTTGTATTTGTCGTTTTTTTATGGCAACCAAGTACCTGATAACTGAGTTGATTGTAGCCTGACAACTATTGTAAAACTGTAATTCATTGATTAAAATGTTAATTTAAATGAAACTTTCTAGTTAAAATCACAACAGATGACAAAATAAGTGTTAACTGTGCAAAAATAAATTTCCAAACAATTTATTATAAAATATGTAAAATGTAAAGCAAGCTTTAATAAAGTACTTTTACTACTATTTATACTGTTTATTAATGACATCATCTGAAGTCAGCAGGAGCACCATCATCATCATCATCACAACAACACAAAGTGAGTGCTGTAAATTTAATCTGCACAAACATTTTCAATCAGGGCTCAAGATGTTTAACTGTCAAAGAAATGTTCAATAAAATAAACTAATGTCGCTCTACAGACACATTTAGAGAGAGGACAGTTCACAGAGACACAGTGAGGACGAGTGAGACGGAGACACAGTGAGGACGTGTGAGACAGAGACACAGTGAGGACGAGTGAGACTGAAGGAAGTTCAACCAGTTGTTCATGGACCAGAACCAGATGAGAAGAACCGCAGAACTTCCACTGACCAGTGATCTGGCCAGTGATCTGGCCAGTGATCTGACCAGTGACCTGACCAGTGACCTGACCAGTGATCTGACCAGTGATCTGACCAGTGATCTGACCAGTGACCTGACCAGTAATCTGACCAGTGATCTGACCAGTAACCTGACCAGTGATCTGACCAGTGATCTGACCAGTGATCACACACGTTGTTCTAAATTAAACTTTGCTACGAACAGTGTTAAATAAGACAAGTCATATTTTTATTGAACAATAATCTTCATTCTAACAGTGACGTTGTAATTTCAGAGACTGAGGAAGAAACAGAAATGAGGCGAGTGAGATGAGGGACAGATGAAAATGTGTCCTCAGAGGACGGGGACATGTCAGGATCTGATGATCCAGGATCAACAGGACCAGGAGGATGGATCAACAGGACCAGGAGGATGGAGCAACAGGACCAGGAGGATGGATCAACAGGCAGTCAGGGAACAGAGATGAACAACCTGAGGAACAATTAGAACAAAAAATACATAAGCAGGACAGAAGAAACTCACAGACAAGAAAATTAACTCAGTCCTGCGAAGAAAAATGTTAACAATGGAAAATAAATTGACATATTTTTACAAAAGATCAGATGAAGACAACTGGCATGAAGAAAAACTTCCAGCTCCATCTCAATGTACCTGTGATAGTTTAATAAGTGTTTTGTTACTGTTCTACAGTTTATTGATGCTGATATATTCTTGTAATAATTCTTATGTCTTGTTCTGTCTTGAAAGAGTCTCATCTCAACTTGACCCATGATTACCAAACGCTAAACTAATAATATAAAACTAATGTAAATGAACAGTCCTGCAGTAAATACCAACTTTGTGAAGGTTATGGTGTTAAAGTAATTTTATTCAAACATGTTGATTAAGCTGTTATTGTTCTGGAAGACAGAAAATGAGATCTTGTACCTTTCTGATACTTTGAATGCAACATTCAGTTCATGAAGTCATTCTCCTCTGGTTTACCTGGAAAACATGAAAACATTGACTCATCTCCACAATCACATTTTCTTTAATGATAATGTCACAATTTATGCTGCAGTCTTTGACAAATGATCTATAACTTGAACTAAATTACGTCAGTCTTGTTGTCATGTTGTCATCATTCTTTGTTGAAATCAAGTCTCTCTTGTAAATGAGTCCTCGAGGCTCAATGGGACTTACCTGTCTAAATAAAGGTTGAATGAATCTCTCAGGAAAAAAATACCAAATATTTTCTAGCTGAGTTCAGTAACTGGAATTATCATAAATTTAAAAAAGACCACCTTTCAAAATTTAAGCAGTAAGATATTTTAAAACGTTGAATTAGAAATAGACCCGTTTAAACCGTCATGTTGCAGAGCAGCTGCAGTTAAAACACAACTAGTAATTTAACATGTTTCATTAAGTAAAACTGGCGACATGAAGTATTAATGTTGATAAATTGAGGTACAAAACAGTCAGATAACGCTTCACAATGGAGAAAAAGTGTCGCATTTGCATTAACTTACCGGGAAAACACGGAAAATGAACTACGTTCAATGCTGAACCCGCCGTTGTTTGGAACTTTTTGCCGCTGCATGACCCACGTGACTTCCGCATTCCATTCTTTCTATGGGAGTCTATGGGAGTGTCGCAACTCTCTCTTTACAGGGCTCTGCTGGTTTTCTGGATGTAAATCACATTTTTTGGATGATTGTTTCCTCTGGTATCAGATGCTGTGCAGCCGGAAGGATTTTTACTGAAACCTTTTTGGTTTTGGACATTTGTTATGATGCGTAACCACGGCAACAAGGCAGTTTTCTACAACAGCAGCTGAATAACATCTCAAAAGCTCAAATAATATCTCAACTATGGCCCCAACTCTCAAATGAGTTGAAAAGGATGTTCTGTGGACGCATTCTCATCTACCTGCCAGCTGTGCTCGAGTGCCTGATCACTGAGATCCTGGAACTAGCAGGAAACACGGCTCATGACAGCGGAAGGACAGGATCGTCCCTCAGCACCTACAGTTGGCTGTCCGCAGCTATGAGGAGCTCGGCAGACTGCTGGGAAGAGTGGCCATCGCTCTGGGAGGAGTTCTGCCCAGCATTCAAGCGGTCCTACAGTCCAGGGGAACCGAGAGGCCAGCCGAGTCTGGGTGGACGGATCGGACGGCATCTGCAGCCAGTTTCTTAGGATCCACTGTGGGATGGACCTTTACAAGAGATCCTTCCTGCCTACAGCCATCAGTATCTATAACATCTCTTAATGAAATGAGGATAACGAGTTACTACAACAAATAATTTCCCTTTGGGATTAATAAAGTATTATTGAATTGAAAACAAGCTCACATGCTGAACACTGCAGACTGATCAGCATAAACAAGAAAAACTCCATTTTAACCCTCCTGCTGCCCTTGGGTCAAAATGACCCACGAGGCCTCAGTTGAGGGATCAGAGATCTTGCCTCTCCGTTTAGATTTACTCTCTTGATCTTTATAATTTCATTCCTCCAAATTCCTTCAATGGTTTAATGATATTCTGCACTTTAAAAGTAAGAAAAATTCAAATCCCCTCCAGTCTTCTTTAAGGATCACTGTTTTTAACACGAGTTCCTCAAAGATCTGTGACCAGCTGGAGATCTTCTGCTCAGATTTACTTTTTACACACTCTGCCTTTTATGGACACTGAAATGGCAACAAATTGTGTTCTCCATCACTTGTGTAAAGTTGGTTCTGTGATGATCCACAATTTGTCCTCCTCCACCATAACCCTGAGCACTGGCTCCCCCCAGGGCTGTGTGTTGAGCCCTCTCCTGTTCACTCTGCTCATATGATTGTGCAGCTACCCATCCAGGCTGTCACATTGTAAAGTTTGCAGATGATACAGCGGTGGTGGGATGCATCACAAACAATGATGAGTCCAGCTACAGGCAAGAGGTGGAACACCTGGAGAGCTGGTGCAGGAAGAACAACCTTCACATCAATGTGAAGAAGATGAAGGAGATGGTCGTGGACTTCAGAAGGAACAAACACACAGACATCTACACCTCTAGTTGCAGGAAGATGGCCACCTGCATCATGAAGGACCCCACTCACCCAGCACACACACTTTTTGCCCCACTCCCCTCAGGAAGGAGGTTGAGGAGCATTAAATGTAGAACCACTAGACTGAGGAACAGCTTCTACCCTGAGGCTGTTAGACTCATGAATCCCTAACCAGAATAATCACTGTGAAAAATCACATCATGCTGCTGCTGATCTGTTTCATGTTGCTGCTGATCTGTTTCATGTTGCTGCTGATCTGTTTCATGTTGCTGCTGATCTGTTTCATGTTGATGTGTTCATTCGTGCTCCTCTGCTCACACAGACTCATGTTCGTGCTGCTGTTCGGCGTGTTGTTTTTATGCTGTTAGTGCTTAATGTATTTTTAGCTGATGTTTTTCTTAGTTCATATCTTAGATGTTATTACTGTTTTTCTTTTACATTTTATTGTTGGATGTAACTGGGACCCCGTGTACATAAATTAGTTCCACTACTTGTACCACATGTGGTGCGAATGACAAAGAACCTTGAATCCTGGAGTAGAGTTTAATAGTTTACATCACAACTATTTGGAATGAGCTAAATGCTTGGGGGAAAATTTATGGAATTATTTTAAAACTAATCAAATAAAATTGACAGAATATTTAAAATATCTTGGGCTCATACTGTCTGCAACTTAAAATAAAATAAAAATACAGTAAGAATTAGTGTTGGTTTTATTTTTTCATTGCTAACTTGTGAAATAAAACAACATGTAAAACATGTAAAAAAAAATATGTAAAAACATGTAAAGCATTCATTTGGCTCTTACCAGGAGGACACATAGGACAGCATTCATTCCCGATCTGATACTCTGTGAGATGACATGTGAGGGAACGGACACTGAAGACCCTCATTAAAATGATCTGTGGAGATAATAAAGGTTTGTTTTAGAACAATTCAACTTTCATTTCATCAGTATCAGAACTACTGCACAAGAAGAAACTGAAGTTTGCCACAGTGGTGCTCTTCCAAGTTGTTTTTCTGTAGAAGAAATGATGACAACTGTTTTTACTAAGCTC